ATAGCTGATACCAGTGTCAGTTTCTCTGTCCATGAATTTGTTTTTCAGGAATGAGATTGAACCCAGGGCCTTTGCACTGAGCTACATCCATGTTACAGTTGGAGTTTACATGGGAAAAGAATACAGGACAATAAATTTATAGGATTACTAGATAATATTCACCTAAAGCATCAAATGCGAAAGAGCGTGGGAGATCGGTCCACACGCGAGAGACCCAAAGAATCAACCTGAGGGCTTGGCTCCTGCGTCAATCTGTTGCGCGAGACCAGCTGGAGGCCTAGAGCACACGACAACATCTCATGCAAGTCTGTATCAAGAATCTGCACTGGAAAGGCCCAAAGGTCAGCAGCGGAAGCTAGAAACTGCATCAACGGGATAAAGGATGTGCACCAGCAGGCTGAGGGATCTGCACTGGAGCTGGGAAGCGACATTCGAGGTAAGGACCAGAGTTCCCCGAAAAAGAACCACAGCCATCCTCCAAAACAGTGAGGTCCCAAGCTCCACAGATAATGAGAACAGCTGAGTTCCTATCAGGAAAACCAGCACGACAAGTTTCTCCCGGAGAGTCAACAGCCCACCATCCTCCCGCTCCAGGCCTCCTTTTATGCTGTAGGCAACCATCCTCAGGTGGGCCTTCCACACCCAGCACCATGCTGATTCAGTTCAGTTTGAGTGTTACACGCAGACCGTTCGTTAATCCACCACAGTCCCCCAACCCTTTTCATTTGTTATTTTGAGACAGGATATCATGAAGCCACTGTTACGGTTATGTCTGGTTGTCCCTACAGAGTCTCCTGTAGTCGGGAGTGGTGGTCTTTTTGGCTGCAGCTGAATCTGGAGTGTGTGATTTATTCATAGGGCAATGCTGGGAGTAAGGCTGGGTGACTGCTGGATCAGTCCACTGGTCGGACTGGCACCGTCCTAATCCCAGCAGTCTGGACAAGATAGAAGGGACAGAAAGAGGCTTGTTTTCCTCTTTTGCTCTTGTTGCACTGTCATGAACTGTCTTTTGCTGTCTTCCACTGCCATGAACTGTTGCCCCTCTGCCACGTTCTCAAGGCTGAAAGAAGCAACTTAACTCACCCTTTTCAATTAAGTACGTAGATTCGCTGACTCTCATCATGGAAAAAAGAATTTTCAGGATGCCCAGTGAAAGGAAGAATGAGGAGGATTTATAAGAGGAAGATACAGGATGCACTCAGGAGCTGAGTGCTGGTGCTCCAGGAAACGAGGGGCGTATAGTTGGGGCAGGGCACATATTTAAAAGCTGTTTCCAATACGGGTGACCTCAGATGTGTATGCTCACTGCCAGGTTACACTGCAAGCCATCCCCATGGGTTTGAAGTAAAGATAGGTGCTAGACAGCCTGTCTCCACGGGTGCTGCTTTCTGGGCTGAAGGAAAAGGCAATTTATAGGTGAAACGGACTAGGCAGACCTATTTGCAGCTTAAAGGGACTTGCCCAGGTTTTCTGTGTAGGGAGAAAGAAAAAAAGTAATTGGAAAGAGATGTCCATCCCTCAGGCAGCACGGTCTGGAGAACGGAGCTCCTCCAGTAAACTCTCGAAAGAAAAAAAGTAAATAAACCGCTCTGTGTTCTGAAGCTGCAGTTTTTCTTTTAAAGTACAGTTTTAAATTCTTGATTTCTTTGCCTCCTTTCTACCTAGCTTTATTTCTTCTAGCCAAGCTCAAGTTGAAAGCACAACATAGGGGCCGGGGAGATAGCTCAGTTGAATAAGAGCGTGCCTGGCAAGCCCAAGGGCCTGAGTTCAATCCCCGGTTCCCGCAAAAAAAATAAATAAATAATAAAATAAAAAATAAAAGCACAACATACCATTGCAAGTCAGGCCATCCCAAACGTAACTTTTAGAGTTTGTGGTACTTCATCTATCTGCCTCCACATGCTGCAGTAAGAAATGAACAGAACACACAAGCAATAATAAGCAACAACAACAACAAAAAAAAAAATCCTCCAAGTTCAATGAAGACTAAAATGTCCCTACTTGAAGTGTCACTGTTGCTTCCCATCATTTAACTGTGTGTACTGTGTCTGTGATAGGTATTCGAAATACCAGCTATCTCTGATTCTTTTGTTCAGTTACTTCTGCTAGAAAAGGGCCAGGCCATTCACTGTCAGCTCAGGGGTTACATTTGTACAAATTGGAAAGAGATGTCCATCCCTCAGGCAGCACGGTCTGGAGAACGGAGCTCCTCCAGTAAACTCTCGATACCTGCTTGCCTCCTGTGGCCGACATCTATGCGCAGGACACACCTGTACAGTCCCAGTCACTGGGCTGTCCCCTGGATCAAAAACCACTGACAGCATCTTCAGGGTACCACTTAGTAGTGGTATCACAAGTTCATGCTTTCACTGTTACCTACCCCAGAGTAGAAGTCTTGAAGCTTTCTGTTTGCATCAAAGCATCTGCATAGCTCAGATAAGGCATTCACAGCTCCTGAGTTCTTCCTTATCTCTTAAATTGCTCAAGACAGAACCAGAAACTCATGGCTTCCTCCCTGCTCCTTGTGAGCAAGCCAAAGCCACTATCAGAAAAATAGCTCAAGGAATATATGCTGGGTCATCCACAGGATCTTGGCCTGTTTAGCAAGAACATTCAACCTTTCTAATTACAGAACACTGACTCATTTCAGGCTGTCAATCATCGGGTCTCAGGAGCCTTTGCTGGCTCCTGTCCCCTTGCCTGGCCTGGTTTAAGTCTCTTCTGGGCTCCTGCAGCATTCCTTGCCTATTTGTACTACCACCTTCCTGTGAGTCTATTCAATGGATTCCTTTTGGATCAGGAATCATGTTACTTATTTTTGCATACATCCTTGAAGTAGGAAAATTTTCTTTTTTAAATTATTTTCTTTTTTAAATTTTATTTGTGTGTGTGTGTGTGTGTGTGTGTGGCCAGCTCGGCCCACCAGGGGGCGGGCTGGCTGGCATGTGGTGCTGGGGGATTGAAACGCGGTCCCTTTGCTTTGCTGAGCTTGTTCTAAGTAGGTGCTTTAGACCACTGAGCCATCTCACCAGCCCAGGAAAATTTTCTAACAATGCACAAGCAAATAAACTAAAAAGTGGAAGTCTCCATCCTATCTACTATTTCCAGTGCACTAACAGAGTGCTGTATAATCCTTCCAGAAGTCTCCATTTGCAAGAAGTGATGCTAATATAAGTGCTAGTGGTTAGGGAGACATTGCTAAGAGTCAAATGCTGCACTTAAGCATCCCTTGTGCTTGTTCCCAAGAATTCACAAAACAAGCCCGTAAGATAGCCTTACTTTGATGCCATTTTTCACAATAGAAGAAGCCAAGGTGACAGTTACTAAATGGCAAATCCAGAACTGAATCTTAACTCCTGTTGTTCTGTCTCCTGTTTTCAAAACTTGTAGTGGGTATAGACACTTCGCCAAAGTTACCCACACAATTCTTTCTTCTTAATGTTGCTCAGTATCCTATGCATTTAGCAACTCATCTACTGATAAATTTAAGAATTTTCTAGTTTTTCCTCTTATATTATCAAATCTGAGATTTCTTTGATGGTAAGAAATATTCTATTTCAGGAAGATTAAAGCATTTTTTAAAATGTTTCTTATAGCTGCTATGCTGTGTTCTTAAAGACCATGCTGTAAAGAAACACCCTTAAATATAAATTTTCATGTATGTGTTTCTATAGAAACTTCCTAGAAAAAAAAAAAAAAAAGAAACTTCCTAGAAGTACAACTGAATGTAAAAATGAAGATGTGAGTTTTAATACATACCATCAAATTCCCTCCGGGATGCCAGGGAGATGACTCAGTGGAATAAGCGCTTCTCTGGCAAGTGCAAGGGCCTGAGTTCAATCCCCAGTTCCGCAAAAAAAAAAAAAAAAAAATCACCCAGAGTATACATTTGGGCTGGTGAGATGGCTCAGTGGTCTAAGGCACCTACTTAGAACAAGCTAAGCTAAGCAAAACACAGGGACCTTGGTTCAATCCCCCAGCACCACATGCCAGCCAGCCCTGCCCCCTGGTGGGCTGAGCTGGCCACACACACACTAAATAAATAAATAATAAATAAATAAATAAATCTTTAAAAAAAAAAAAAATTCCCTCCGGGAGACTTTATGTTAATAATTTGTGTTCCCATTTACTTAACAAAATTGTCTGGGACAAATATTTAGTGGACATAATGCATGATGCAACCCAGAAATTTCCAAGTATTTTGTGCTACACAAACCCCAAAAAATAAAAAATATGACTCTGATAGTAAGAAAGATTAGAATATTTTAGTATCTTATGTGTGTAGTTCTTACCGAAACATTGCCCACAGTAAAAGACAAATGCTAATATTTTATATACTGAATGTGTCAAAAATGATTACACAATATAGTGCAAAATAATTTATTAAAAAGCTGTGTACTCAGTTTGATAAATATATACCAACAACTCCAGTGTTTTACAACTCCCAAGATACTACAGGTAGGAAATTTTCAGAATTAGTATGGCCTGCCATTTTTTCAGACACTTGCAAAACACGGGCCTCCATCTTCCACTCTAAACCTACTAATCTCCAGAGATTATAATTTGGCTAGTCTGGAGTTGGAGCTGCATTTTAAATAAGCACTCCGGATAATTCTAACGCACTGCAAAGCAGAACTCCCATTGCTTTACAGGGCGATAAGAAGAGAAGTTACTTAATGTGATTTGCATTTTAGAAACACTCCTTTTGCTGCAAAATGTACAATCAACAAGAAGTGAGCTGAAACATTTTAGGGCATCCTCACGGTCCCGGGTGCGAGCAGAAGGGCCCAGACCCTGGACGCACTCGGGTGCCTCCCGCGGGCCATCAAAGAACCCAGCCCGGGCGCGCCCCGGAGCTGCCAACTGCGACTGCGCACTCCCAGGGGTGGGGAGGCCGGCCCGGGGGCTCCGGAGACCGCGCCAGCCCACACCGGAAACGGAAGTGAGGTCGAAAGAGCCTCGCGCTCTTCGCGGGTCGCCGCAGTCCCTCCCGCTCTAGGCGGGGTCGGCTCAAGGAGCCGCCGGAAGCGGAAGTCGCTAAGGGGTGGGGGAGTTGTTAGGAAAGTAGCAGGTTTTCCTCCCACTTCTTAGTTTCCATTCCCGGCTGCCGGAGCGGCTTGGGGCGGACTTTGAGACCTCTCCGGTTCTGCTGATCTGCTGGAACCGGCTCCCAGCCCGCGCCAACGTCTAAAGGGCGTGATAACACTGGTCCTCCGACCCTTCCCAAGGTCCTAGTGACCCCCCTCCCCCGGGTGACGGGAGTCCCGTCCCAGGTCCCTTCCCTGGC